AGTGCTTGTTCAGCTTGTCATCGTAATATGTAATTCATTAATCACTACTCTTACTCTAAATCACTCGTTATTATATTGTCAGTGCGGTGAACCACCGTGAAAATTTAGTACTTCTGGAATGTTTTCAAAACATGTGAATTTGAAAATGTATCACGTTCAAATGCTCCTCAACGATTTGCGTCACAATCCAACAAAATTAATCTATATTCATGGCATTCGAAAACTCAGCAATTTTGGTTTATGACGTTAATATAATATCATGAAGCAAAAATATCGATAATTGCATTGCAGCATTCATCACCATTGAAGCCCTCATGCAAATGAGTGTTTACGAAGCAAATAAATGAAATAAAAGGATCGAAGAGAAAAGTAACCTATGAGCGCAGGAATAAGTAAAAGTAATTATCGCATCTCACAGAATGCGGCATGTAAAGCATGACTTGTGGAGATTTGTGGGAATTTTGTGAACATTCATGAGAATAACTGATAGTTATATTGGATGATCAATCACTGATCCATTGGGCGTCCGACGAATGATCTATAATGATCTATAATCAGCACAACATTTCACCAGCAAAGATTCCACGACGTCTTTTTGCGTGACTGCTATACTTCTACACTCGACTGTTAAAAAATGGAATAATTTAACAATGTATTAAACTGCTCAATTAATGCCCTCCATCAATTCAGACTTCTTTGACGTGCGCACAAAAGGCCTATGTTTGGTTTCGAATCATCGGTTCCACTTGGCCTCCATCAACACAAGTTGCGATCGGTTTTGATCGTGTTGTTTGTGTTTTTAAACCGTTTTGGTATCAAAAATTCGTCGAGAAAAGGTGAGCCATTGTGAAAGTCATCAGAAACCTTGGAGTATGCCGCAGATGACGAATCACTCTTCAAGTGGATCGCTTTCATTTGTAAACGTCCTTGCGTATATTACTCCAAGAAAAGATCTATCGGTTTCCTGCGGTAATAGTTAGCATCTGTCATTTGCTAATTTTCAGTCATCGACTACAATTTTGTGTTTCTTCGAATCAAAAGTACATGCCTCTAAACTGAATCACATCTTGAGAGCAACAATTCTTATTTGTAGAGACATTCAATTCGGGATGTTGAGTGTGGCATTTGTTTTGATCAGTATTTTGGTTGCGATTATTCTCGTCTTAAGAAATGGTGATAAAGAAGTGAATCATTATTGCGGTAGAAAGGCTACGTTCTCGCCTGAATATGGACTGTTCGTTTACTGGACTGAGGTAAGCATGGTTTTCAATCAAGCTTTATGTGGTATTTAATGGGATTGGATTTATGTGCATTTGCTGAAAATGAATTCATCCATTTGATGCTAATTGTTTTCTAAATGAATGAGAGTCGATATGCTTCATAAATGAGCATTGTTAATTGATTCTAACAGTGAGAGAACGTCATAACAACCAACATGATCAACCACATTTGTGATAATCCGAAGAACAGTTCTAATTTCTTTCAAATCGCCATTCAATGAAAATTTGCCTACGCTTCTCGACCGTAACATTCAATGTTTCAAAATATCGCATTATTATGCTCGTTTAATTGATCATATTCCTACTTTTCGCTATAAACCGTTTTCACTGAATGAATTGTGTTTGTTCGGTGCGAACTTATTATCAGGCAAGGCAATTACATTACATGGTAACAGAGTATTCACTGATTATGGCAACCATTTGGTTATCCATTCGAAGACATAGAAAAATATATAGAATAGAATAATTCTTAGATTCTTAGGAGCATAGAATAATTCTTAAGATTTCAGATAATCGGATATTGTGTCGCACTTTTACTTACATCGGCCGCCTATATTGTCGCATCCAAAAGGTATAATCCTGTTGAAGATAGCATCGATACAGTCTCACTCAAAAAAGCAATATGGGCAAGCTATCAAAAACGACAGCGCGCTATTTGCTGACCCATTAAACGAAAAACTGCTAGTTCGGCTGAAAAAATCCGCTATCGCCGTCATCGCCAAAAAATAACGAAGCGCTATCTCTGATCCGCTATTTTGGCAAAGTCAATCCACAATCGCTATCGTTATCGCTATTGCTACTTGAAAGTTCGGAGAAAATAACTGCAGCCAATGTTTGAATGCTCAACTTCTAACCGTTCGAAAGAGTTTGATGGGTTCGAATTCAGTGCAGTGTTATAGCGCAAATTTGTATTTACATATTATACATTAATGATGGAAGAAACATGCATTCACTTGCAGACGAACGGATAGCGAAAGTTGTCCGCTGAGGCGCTATCGTCTGAGAAAAAATAGCTTGCTAGAGCGCTGACTAACGACAGCAGATTCCGCTATCGCTATAAGGTGCCGCTATTTGAACACAATAGCGCGCTATTCGCTAGTAGCTGGATGGCGTGCTGTTGTCCATCTTCAGTACACACGCATATGTTTGTTTGCTTAGCACGTTCAATATTCAGGACAATAACAGCGCAACTGAAGAAGATCCGCGCTATTGTGGTACTGAACATACTATCATGTGTACTGGTGACGTTACCGAATATTGCCTCGCTACTGTCGGTTTATTTTGGAAGATTCGTAAGTATATTCAGCAATTTTTGATTCAGTTTCCAGGATTCATTCCGAATTTCCTAGTGACGTGAATATTTCCTCACGCCTCGAGCCCATCATTCTCCAATTTTCGGTCGGATGCTCTAGCAGTGCACCGAACAAAACGGCTAATTCATTCGCATTGTTTCGCATGTGTTCATTAGGATGATAGAATTTTGTAACAAATGAATGAAACTCTGAAAAGTGTACATCCCCACTCAAAAAACGCTGTCTTTTCGTCTAAAAACAATCTGTGCAAAAGTTCCTCCAAGAAATCGTTTAATTGTCAGCAAATGTAATCCTTCAAAGGTTTGAAAGGATTATATTTGTTGAAAATAGACCGATTTTCAAAGGTTTGAAAGGTCAATAAAATTTATTCCATTGGCACTACTCTTGCAATCAGTAATCTCACAAATTATTCCGATTTTCGGAATTTTCTTGTTCCCACCACCCAAAATCGTTCATTTGATTGATGGAAACAATCTGTAAAGTTCTTCCAAAAAATTTTTTTCGGATTGGAACTTTGGAAATTCGTGAATCTGAATGAACCAAATGAATAATTCCAGCCAATAAGTGTCTCCGAAACAGGTGAATGGCTATCGTCGATCAACTCAGCGCTCAACTTTTTCGTTTATATCACTATGAATGCTGAATTCAGACGTCGTGTGCGTGCATTGCTTTGCACAAATGTAAAAGTGGATGCTGTCAACATGGTGCAGCTGACTCCAGCTGCTCGTGAATGACACAGCCATCGTATCAATGATCTCAACGATTCTGAAAATTATTTTCAGCCCTTCATGCGAACTACATCTTTACTCGTTTACAGATAGCTATATCCAAAGAATTTCATCGTACTCACCCATTGTACAGTCATTTTTCACACTGAATTATTTTTATTTACGTGCTGTGCTCTGTTCATTGCATTCTTACGTTATGAGCAGTGTGCAATTGTTGCAAAAGGATTATATATGTTCATAAATGTGAAATAAGTGCGTTGTTATGATAATTGAATTTTGTTTCGAAAACAAGCAAATATGAGAACTCTTGTGATGAGCTGAAAGTGATGAGCTGAAACAAAGTGCAGTATGTTATTAGAGCAGAATTATCTGAAGGGTATTATTGATCACCGATGTGAGCTGTTGATATTGATCTATTCAGTGATCAGCTATGCACTATATCATAGATATCAGAGAAGTTGCTCACATAGCAAAGCTTTTATTGCTCCTTTATTTTCCCCTTATTCTCTTTTTCATTAAGCTTCAGCACAGCTATTTGATTTCATACGCAAGGCGATTGATGCATGCATCATTTGAGGCAAAATTTTATAGTTGAGAAATTTTACATTCATGAAAAAAGCAAACTTTTTTGTATTCATGAAAATTTGATGAAACAAGTTTCCTTTTGAATCTTTCTGCTCTGATATTTATTTTAAAAAGTGATATGTATCGTTCATTGGTGATCGTTTGGTAAAGAATTTAAAGAAAATTTCTCAGCATATTACAATGTTACCATGGGTTATTGGTCAGTTGTTAACGATATTTTGTACGGGTCTTGCAATCGAAGATGAAATCAGTCGCGAACGACGTATTGACTGCCTTCCGAAGCCGAACACGTTTCAAGGTGAATGCGAATCGAAGGGTTGTATATGGGATAACTTCTATGATAAGGTAAAAACCATATTATATACAACAAATGTTAACTGCTTTAAGCTGTTCGACACTTGTTTATGAGCTACCTTTATTGATCATCTAGGTCCTTGAACTATTGAAATGCCACGAAGTTCGGTTTTAGTTATCGTATTCGATTCTAATCATTACTATTTCACGATTGTTATCGTATTCTAATAACTGTGATCCACTTTACGATTCATAGTGGACTTTCAACATGAGGAAGCGATTCTGCATTTGGCTCTAAGAAACCGGGAGAGGTGCAGTGTATTGCTAAGACGAAAAGGTGTTTTGAAATGCACACTTCCAGGTGTTTTGAAAACATCGTTAAAAAAGCATATGTTACTGAGCAGGTGATATTGTTAAACAACACAATTGCGCATAACTGATGTGTTGCGCTTGCTTTTTTCAGTAACTTTTTCGAATCATCTGCTCATTTACACAGACTCGATTAATGTCACAACGTGGTCAATTCGATACAGTAACTTCTGACCGAATGACTAGTGATAAGCTCGTAGCAAATATGTCGAGCAGTTCAAGAAATGTTGTAATAAACATATCACTTATTTTTGATGAGGATACGAAAGTACAACAAAATTGCTGTTG